GTTGAAGTTCTTGTTTTGCCTGTGTGTTGTATTTGAGGGGCACTTAACTGTTCAAGATGCTACCCTACTGTACACAGTGATTTTTAGAAAAGAAGAATGGAAGTAATTGCTCAACTCACTTTTCAGATGGTTTCATTTGTTTTCATCATGTTACTCTACTTGACCACATTTCATTTGGTTGTGTGTTGTTCTTTGTTTCAGTAACAGTTCTTGTTTTGCCTGTGTGTTGTATTTGAGGGGCACTTAACTGTTCAAGATGCTACCCTACTGTACACAGTGATTTTTAGAAAAGAAGAATGGAAGTAATTGCTCAACTCACTTTTCAGATGGTTTCATTTGTTTTCATCATGTTACTCTACTTGACCACATTTCATTTGGTTGTGTGTTGTTCTTTGTTTCAGTAACAGTTTGTAAAGAAGACTTCAGGAGCTCTTTCCAAAACTGGGCTGCATCAGACAGTATTGCTTTTCCAGAAGCAACTCAGGATAACAGCAGCAGAGCAGAAATCAGGATGCTTTGTGAAATGGTCAGTGCATTGCAGGGCTTAACGTACTTTGCAGCAGTTTACCCAAATTCATCTTCAGAGTCATATTAACAAAGCATCAACCTCAGATTTGCCATTTCTCCTGTCAAGGAAGACCACAGTGTACCCTTGTTTATCATCACTGTAAGAGCCAAATACCAAGCAATTCTCACAGCAAAGCTGGGGAGGGGAGGACATGCTTTATACTTGCACAAGACAAATAAGTAGCAACCAAACCAAGTGTATGGCAAAAGCACAAACAACACCTCTCTCCTGATGCTCTCCTGGTCATGGAGGTTAACATTTACTCATCCAAGGCAATCTGCCCATTTATTGCATTAGACTAGCAGCACCAGAATATAATCTCTGAAGTTGTAAAATATTTCCATGAATTTCATATCCTGTGTAGAAATTTTACATTTTGAAGTATATATTATAGTTCTTGGCTTTTCAAATAGTCTTACTGATTTTTTTTTGGTTTTGATATTTTAATAACATTAAGGAAAAGTTAGGTCAGCACAGTAAGAGCTGAAAAAGAAAATAGATTTAAACTAACAGTGAAGTCTCATAGGGGGCTCAGGCTTGGATCTGGATTAATCTTTTTCCATTTTAGGCACAGAACAGACCTCCAGAGATCTCTCAGGTGTCTGCTGAGACTTCTAAGAGTGTTATGGCTTTGTTGTAACAAATACTTCCATGCCAACTATTGTGAAAACCAGAAGATTTTGTTTTTGAAGATCCAACAGTCTATCGTCCCCTCCTGTGTACCCTCTATATGAGAACAGGAGAACATGGGTAAATTTCATCATTAACTAAGGGTAGGATGAGACATTCACAATTTGACTCAGTACACCAGGAAGACACTTTCCTGTGGAGAATGGCAAAGGCTGATTTTTTTCAGTGCTTAAAATTAGGAAAGATTTTTTTTCTTGAGGAGAACATGATACCATGGAAGCCCTGCCCTTCAAGCACAGTGGGTACAAGCATAAACACAAGGTGGCTGAGCACAAGGGACTTAATATCAAGCATTTAAGGAGGTGCAGGGTGCTACGTTAACTATAAATGACTTAGAGAGAAGGAGTAGGGGCCTCTAGGGGAGAAATCAAACCTTTAAATATGTAGGTATTATCACAGAATAGATCAGGAGCAACAAGAAGGTTGATTAGTAAGATGAATGGATTGAAAATTAAGGCTCAGCTATAGCAGATGAGAAGTTGTGACCCCAGAAGATAAGAAGATTAATTATCTACTATAGTTGGTTGTTTTGGTCACAATGATCAACAGATTCATTGCTCATGCAAAGTTTGAGGAAGACCATTTCC